ATATATATATATATATATATATATATATATATATTTGCATTAAAGAAATATATTATAATATCTTCTTATAATATATTATAAATGTATAATACAACCTTCTTCTTTCTTTAATGGTGCAACAGACATATGAAGCGGTCCAGTAGGCCAAGTTGTGCTCATCTCTTCCTGTCTCATGTCTACGAGGGCACAATCCTTCCAACATAATCATCCTGGTGATGTGACCAATTAATATTAGTTTTTACTGCCTGGTGAAGTTGAAGATACTTAAATCCTGGTATTCACCATACAACTCCGCATTTTGATGCAGACACCAAGTAGTGGAAAAATAAAAAAACCGGTGTATAGTTTTAAATATCAAGGAGCACACATAACAGAAAATAGACTTATAGATGTGGAGATGAGAGAAATAATAGTATCAGCTGGAAAGTTTATCAATGGAGTTAAAAGGGGCTTCATTAACAGAAGAGAAGTAACTACATGAACCAAGATATGTATAAAAATACACTTTCATCCTGATATTGACATATTTTACTGAATCTTGAACCATTAGGACAAAGGAACAGAGTCAACTTCAGGATTCTAAGATGCAATTCCTTTGGAGAATTAAAGATAAAACAAGACAAGACCGAATCAAAAATACCAAAATAAGGAAGAACCTCAACATAAAAGCAGTAGGAACAGTGATTGAGGAGAATTAATTCTGATGGTATGCATATGTTATTGAAATGGTAAAAGTAGAATAGTCAGAGCAACCTGTAAGGCCCTGGTGGATGGCCGTAGACCAGGAGGAAGGCCAAAGAGAAGATGGGAGAAAGGCATAAAGCAAGCATTTACAAGTCAGAAAATTGATTGGAGAAGAAGAGAATTGGCGAGAGAGGAAGATCTATGGTTTAGGCTCAGTAAGAAAATCTAACATTACAAAACCAGTCGGCAGGGGCATGACAAAGAAGAAGAAGAATTTATTGTAATTATATTTGTTAAAAACATTAGTGTTTTGCAGAAATAGGATTTTACTTCCAGTCATTTCTTTTTAAACCGGAAATAGCTTTCAGCTTATTTTGGAGCAAATCTCAACTTAATGAATATGGTCTTAATGCTTATTATTTAAGAAAGTTTTTCTAAAAGTGTAGCATTTGTAGTCCAGTTGGAAGGATAAAAAAATCAGGAATAATTCATGATTCTATGAAAAACAGAACTTAAGGTGGTTTAGCCACTTAAAATAGTATTAACTAGTAGAAATCCTACATGCATTTGACAGACATTTTTTCTACTTTATGATGCTGTGATTAATAATTACCTAATCATATTGGTTTTTAATTTCCACTTTTTAAAAAAATAAAAAACGTGGCTTACTTCAGAGAACACAATATTTGAATTTACTACTTTCATGTGTGGAACTGGAGCATGGTCTATATCATAGGCCCAGACTTTAGGAGCTGATTGCCTCCACGATAAAAATAGAGAGGGAATGTAATAATAATAATAATAATAATAAGGCTTAGCGAACCCGAAGGTTCGATGCCGACACCACCAATCGCTTGTTACACACCTCCCTCCACCGTTCGCCGTCCAAACCCAGTCCCTTCAGATCAGCTTTAATGCAATCTTCCCACCTTCGCTTCGGTCTACCCCTCGGACGCTTACCATTCGGCATAGCAAATATTAACCTTTTAGGAATTCTCTCGTTACTAAGCCCAACAACTTTACAAGCCCATTTGATTCGCCTCGATGAAATTACCTCAATTATATTATCCGGATACAGCTCATGCAATTCGGCGTTGTGTAACCGTCTGAACTCTCCGGTTAACTCATCCTTCTTCGGTCCGAATATTCTACGCAATACTTTATTTTCAAAAACCTCAAGACGCCGCTCATCCCTTAATGTAAGCGGCCAAGTTTCGCATCCATAAAGAACTGTAGGCAAGATAATTGTTTTATAGATTCTAATTTTTAAGTTTCGGGACAAGAGGCGCGAACTAAGTAGTTTTGTCACAGAAAAATAACAAGCATTCCCCGCCTTCAGTCTAACCTTAATCTCTTCTTCAATTTCGTTTTTTCTAGTTATCGTAGAACCTAGATACCTAAATTTATCTACCTGTTCAAACATATTACCATCTATATCGATATCACCAGTAGTATCTTCATTTTTGCAGCTAACCATATATTTTGTTTTATCCACGTTTATTTCGAGTCCTAGTTCTTTACCGGCTTTGATTAACGTTGTCGTATTTAGTTTTATAGTTTCAACGTCTTCGCTTAACAGTACCAGATCATCAGCATAGCCCAGCACGGATGTTGTCCCGCCCAGATCCAACCCTTTCTCGGTTCGCATTACCTCCCTTATGGCATGTTCTAATGCCAAATTGAACAGGACAGGCGAAAGAGAATCCCCCTGTTTTAAGCCCGAACGAACCTCAAATTTTTCGGACAAATTATTACCGATTCTAACTTTATTGAGTGTCTCCGTCAAGCACATCTTGACTAGATTTACTAGTTTTTTTGGAATCCCCTGCTCGATTAGAATATTATACAGTTTCTGGCGGTCAATAGAATCGTAAGCCTTTTTAAAATCTATATACAGCTGGTGAACAATACCGTTATACTCCAATTTTTTCTCTAATATTTGCCGTAAAGAAAATATTTGATCAATTGTCGAACGATAGCGTCTAAATCCGCATTGGTAGTCTCCGATAATTTCCTCGGCGTATTCCGTGATTCGACTGGTTAAGATTGAAGTGAATATTTTATAACATACCGGAAGGAGTGAAATTCCTCGATAGTTATTACAATCCGTCCTCGGGCCCTTTTTGTGAATCGGAATAAGAATAGATTCTTTCCATTCTTCAGGTAATTTCTCGTTCACCCAGATCTTTTTAACCAACCGATGTATTTTAGAAACTCCAGCTTCCCCGCATGCCTTAATTAGTTCAGTAGAAATATTATCGATTCCCGCTGCTTTATATGATTTCAATTTTCCGATAGCTACTTCAACTTCCTCTTTACTTGGTCCTTCTATTAACGGTTCAGCACTCTGGTACTCAGAAGGAGGACACAGATCATAATTTCCCGTATTTAAAATATTGTCAAAGTGGTCCTTAAACTTATTCAATATGTCAACCGGATCGGTCAGAATATTGTTATTATCATCCCTAATTCCAGACGTTACGGGCCCTACATATTTACGTGATCTGTTTATACCTTTGTACATGTCTCTTACGTTATTTTCGATTCTATTAGTTTCTATTTCAATTATTTTATTTTTAAGATACTCCCTTTTTTTATTTTTGAGCAATTTTGTCGTTTCGTTCTTTGAGATTCGGAAGTATTCCAGATTGTCTTCGCTAGGATTATTTAGAGCTTTTAATTTAGCGGCTTTTCTTTTTTCACACATGTTTAAGCAATCTTCATCAAACCACGGTTTGTTATTCTTCTTTTCCTTTTTTCCTAGACACGAGTTACCGACCGCTTTAATATTATCCCTGATCTCTATCCATAACTTGTCAATATCCTCATGGTCCTCGTCAGGAAGCTCTAAAGCTTCAAACCTATTCTTAACATCTAGCTCGAATTGGTTTCTAATTGATGGATTTTTTAATTTTTCCAAATTAAAATTCTCAAAATCGAAACGGTTTTCTTTTCTCTTTTTTATATTAAGTTTTTGTCGATGTTTCGCGATTACTAATTCATGATCCGACCCACATTCTGCTCCGCGATAAGACCGTACATTAATAATACTGCTTTGCCAGCTATGTTGTATCAAGACATGATCGATTTGATTTCGTGTTTGCGAATCCGGTGATGTCCAAGTATATTTATGAATGAAATACCCTCGCGCGGGCTCATTACCGCGTATGGGGAGCGTCCCACGGGTGGCGGATGTGGGGATGGTCGGTGGAAATTCCTTGGAAGTTCCTCCCGGCTAAGTCCGATGGACTCGCTGACCAACAATGAGAGGGGCCCTCCAGACTTGCTGGAGGGAGGGGACCTCCAGACTTGCTGGAGGTAGGGGCCCACCAGACTTGCTGGAGGGTGTGACGTAGGATTGAACGCCCTACTTACATATCTTTAGTTCACCAAACACCACAAAAAGTCATGGATCTCCCTAAGGTAAAACGCTCATTATCCGGAGGTAAACTAGTCCCCCGTTCGGGTCTCCGGGTGGGGACTGCTTTAGGGGATTCATGGTGCAAGTTGAAATATAGGGATTTAAATATTGGTACGTGGAACGTAAGGAGTTTAAACACAGCAGGGGGGCTAAAATCGGTCGCGAATGAGAGAGGGAATGAGTTTATATAATTTTTACACATGACATAAACTTTCGAGACTTTTTTTGAGGTACCATCGCTCCGCTCCCTACCAGAATGGAAAGTCTGCACCTAAGGTCTATATTGACATTTTTTGTTGAAAATAAGGTATGGAATCACCTCCTGGATTATAGTCTGCTAATTCTGATGTACCCTTTATAAAATGTTTGTTTTCATTTATTACAGATATGAAACATAATATAATATTTTATATTATAACATAATACAAAATAAATGTATGCATTCATAAATAATATAGTAATAATAATAGTTATAACAATGCCAATTATAATATCCATTAATGGGCTGATAACAAAATCAAAGGTGGACAGACAGTCTGTAATTATCTCTTGATGTGCTTAGAGAGGAACATCTATCAGTTCTCTTGGACACATCACTAATCATTCGAAAATTTCTAAATATTTAAAAATAACATGAAGGTGGCTGGGTCATTGTATTCCAACTCAGTTATTCAACCTTCAAAACCAAGAAAACCCATAATTAAACTAATAATAAATATATAAATTATTTGTATTGCGTTTACTTAATATAATTTATGTTTAATCAAGTTAATTACTTGGTGAAAAAATACTTCTGAAATACCCTCTGTTAATATAATTATATATTAAACTAATAATTTATTAACTCATGTACACAAACATTCTATTGAACTTTTTCTTTTTTATTTATAATTGAATGAAGTTTCCATTAATATTTACTTCTTTTTTTTATTTCAGGCATTGTCCACAAGGATATGTTTGTTTGCGAGTGGGAGAAAATCCAAATCATGGTTACACAAGTTTTGATAATTTTTTATGGTCTATGCTTACAACATTCCAATTAATAACATTAGATTATTGGGAAAATGTTTATAATATGGTAAATTAATTTTATACATAATGATTCTCATAAATACATCACATTATATAAATAAGTCTGAGATTATAATATATTGTATATCTATTTGAAAAAAAAAATTTATTTTAAGGTGATTGCATCTTGTGGTCCGTTCAGTGTTATTTTCTTTACTGTTGTTGTTTTCTTTGGATCTTTTTATCTAATCAATTTGATGTTAGCTGTAGTCGCCTTAAGTTATGAAGAAGAGGCAGAAATTACACAGGAGGTATGTGCATTACTGTTTAGTCCACTAGATGATTTATCTTAATTTATAATTTTGTTATATTTCTAAATCAATCCTACATATTTCTTTACCTTTCCTGTTTATCTTATGCATTTATATTCTCTTTATTTATTTGAATTAAACAAAATCGAGATTTTTTTAACAGTTCATCTCTGATTCATCAATATGTTAGTTATTACTTTCCATTTCTCTTAACCATATATACTCAATTCATGAATGTATTATTTTTTTTTTATTCTGTTTTCCCTTCCTATTTGATTCCCTATTTCTTAAAATCCTGTCTTTGGTCACTTTTTTTTTTTTTTTTTGTAATGACATTGTATTGTATATTTCAATAAATGTATTTGCAAAAATTAATTGATTAGTGCTTAGAATCATCACTATTTCTGCATACATGTGGAATTATTTTTTAAACTTGACATTCCCTACCTTCTGTCCAAAATTAGTTGCAAACTAAAAATATGATTTAGGTCTCATACAAAAACTTAGGATATCTAAGGAGAAGTTAGTTTGGGGTGCAATGAATGATTTCAAAACCCGTTTAACCTACTTTCCAGGTCTTCATCAGGGCTGTCCAGATGAAAAGATGAGAGATCAGTGATTTTTCTAGTTTCTTACTTCTTTTACATCTGTAAGCATCTCTGAAGGCCTGCAAAGTGGGTCTAAACATAGGCATAAAATAAATATAAGTTCCACTTATTAGTACGTTTTGACACCATTGATTATACCCCTTACTAATTTCTCCTGAAATAACACTTCCTTCCATGGAATATCTATTTTTCTCATCAGTTTGGTTAGTTATTTCAAGTAACTACTTGAAAGTCTCATGCCAATCAGTTGATATTGAAATATTTATTTTCCATGTTGAATTTACTATTCTGGATTTTTAAAATGTGACAGACGATTCACACTTAATAACAATGTAAATTTCATTAAGTTTTCAAGATCTGACTTCAAATTCTTCATCAGTAATTTCATTCATTCTTTATCAGTTCATCAATAATTTGAAAACCTTCGTTACCATCAAACCAACTATTTCTCTTTTCTTCAGCTATACATTGATGATGATTGATTTCTAGCTAGACGGTCCATATTGGATTTAAATAAGCCAGATTGTTGAAGAAAATTATATTCCTTAAGAATATCCATTTTGAACCTGAAATATATTTTTATTTTATTTTTAAATTACTTATGTATTTATATTGTAAAATATTTAGGAATCTACTAGTTTTTTTTATTGGTTAAAATCCATTATTTTTAACTGCTTATAAAATTAATTTATTCTAAATTATATAAATTAATAATGTATCACAATATTTTAATATATAATCAGATGTATTTGATATAGTAAAGCGATTCCTTATCTTACATGAATTGTTTAATTTTTTTAATCATAATGTTTAACTCTCGGTAATTTAAATTATCTTATTTTGAACGCTTTATTTATAGGAAAGAAGAAAGGATCTTACTGACCACCGTGATGATTCAACATTCAGTTTTGATCCTTCTAAGATTTCTGTGAAACAATTGGACAAATGTCATAAGAGGCGTATTGACTCTAGAAAAGGAGTACTTCTTAGCTCCTATTCCCGTAAGAAGACACGTAGGAGAAAACGAAGAGGAGGAGTAAGTGGCCCTGAGGGAGGTGATAGATCGGTATCACCAAGCCCTAAACGACTATGTACTGCCCCTCCTACATCACCACCTGTTGAAAAAACAACTGAAGGGACTGTCCGCTCCACTCCTGCAACACTCCATCCTTCACCTTGTACGTAATGATTTTTTCCAATGGCTGTAATATTGGTTATAATAAAAATGATAACAAATAAGAAATAAAATAATTTTATTTGATGTCTTTCAAAACTAAAAAAAGTGGATTGAAATTTCACTCAACAATTAAGATCTGTCTTTTTTTTATTAAGATCTGAATTTATTTAATTTTTTAGTAACAACAGCGGTTATGATACTAACAGCGGTTCTATATACAAAGAACTGCTAAATCCAAATCCTATTTAATAAAAATTATTAGCCCATTTCTCAAGTTATACCACCAGATTTGATTGTTTTATTTACAATAAAAATGGTTGCCGTTATTTCAATGATTTTCACTAGCACCTGGCATGTGTCTTTAGATAGGTTTATATCCTATAAGTAAATATTTTTTACTCAAACTAAATAATCTGTGATGCACAATAGCATTTGAAGTTCTCAATTATACCATTTTATTGTTTTATTATCAATTTTAGGTAATATTACTACTTCTTGTTAGTATTATTTTCCTTCCCAGTAAAATAGCATTCCTAACCAAGGCAAACACTATGACTTGGATGTACTTGTAAACTTTGCTAATCAAGTTGATGCCTCCAAAGAGATCTTAGGAGAATAAAGGCTTCATATAGCGACAACCTTATATCCTTCAAATTAAGCCCATTGATATGGCACATTGTTGATGATCTGGAACCTCTCCTGAAATCCATTTCATCCTTTTTTGTTTTCCTCCAAACTTATTAGAGTTAATAAAATAAATAATATTAATAAAAGTTAATAAATAAAACTAAACTAGAAATAAGTATATTTTTAGTTAAATATTAGTGTGAGCAATTAAAATTGAATACATTTTTCACTGATTTAAATTTGCATTGACAAATAAAATAATGACATGAAGTTAATTTTCTTGGATCTGCTCCTGATCCTGAAGTTCCTAACGATTGAGGTATGTCACTTGTTTATGTACTCTTACCCTACATCATCAATCCTTAACCAGGTGACCTTTGTGGCCACTGGATTGTTTCTGCTCAGACATATTCATTTTAGAAAAATAAAATTAAATGTCTATGCACTTTTTTGCCAAGCCAGTAATGAGTGAAATGATTCGATTTCCAAAAAACTGTCTCCCGTTAGCTGAATAAAAACAAATGAGCATAGATTTAGCAGTTTTGCCTTCTTTCATAATATCTACATTTTCATATAATTGACTTGATCAATTTTAAAGACCAAATTAAGTGGCACATTTTTCTATATAACAGCCCAATTCAAAACTCTACTATTTTGAACTATAGAAGGAGAAAGAATGCAATTTCCAAATTCATCGCTTTTTTTTAAGTGGCACAATACACTGCAGCCCTAACGGGCTTATTGTGTGCTTTTCTTTCTTTCAATATTTCCTTTCCTTTCTCAGTGTGGAGGTGCTTTAATGTGTGCAATCATTAAAAAAATTCATCATTTAACAATGCTCTAGGAAAGACACATAGTGTTTGCTCCTTGCACCCCTTGATGATTTGATGCAGATTAATGTCTCAGATAACTTAGTCTTTTTTTTTTTTTTTTTTTTTTTAGGTCCTCCCCTTCCTCGCCGTTAAGGCTATACGGGGTTTTCCCGGGTCAGGGGGTGTGGGCTGGGATTTAAAAGACTCCCTCGGCACCGGGACATGAACTCGTGACTATTTTTATATCATTTGATTCATATATCAGGTTGCCGGACAACGGCGGTGCTGTGCGCACACGTTAGCCCATTGGGCCACCCCACCCACCTTAGTCAACAGTGATCCATATACAGTCTTGTCACATACTTTAGAGTGGTCCTTTCCATGAGTAGAATTATTGCACTTCTGCACTACATCTCCACCAAGGTCGATGGCGCATGAACCTAATCTCCCTCCCTCCTCAAGATATTTTATTACTCATCTTAAAAACAGAATAAGCTAAGGTAGAATTAATAAAATCGTAGATCATATACAATTACACTTGCTGCAGTATGTTCCATGTTTTTCTCTTGTCCCTTAATCCAAAAATTCATGATCCCGTCAAAAGTTGCTCCCCCTACAAAAATTCAAAAACCTGTCAAAATATGCCCCCCTCAAACATTTTGATGGCGCAGCTTGCGCAATGAAACCTCTTTGTGGGCACCCCTGTCTCTTTATACAAGGTCCTTCTAGGAACAATTTAGAATGTTTTTCCTATTATTATCTCAATTGAGGGTAGTCTTATTACTTACAGCTTCCATAACACAATATCTTGTATTGTAAAACAGCTGCATATAACAAATCTTATTCATCATCATCATCATATTCCTGATCCCAATACCGCAGCACAATGTGGGCTATATCTTGTAGAGCTTGGACCAGGTTTCCCTTTCTTGAGCCAACTCTATTCTCTTACTCCAATCCATACCTCGCTTTCTGAACGCCTCTTGTACGCTGTCTTTCCAGGATATGCGTGGTCTTCCTCTAGGTCTCCTTCCCTCCACACGGGTCTCGTATGTCTTCCTGGCTGTTCTCTCTTGATCCATTTTAAGAAGATCCGAACCATCTTAGCTTGTGATCTTCTAGGATGGTTTCAGTCTGTTTGACCTCGAGGCTAGTCAGTACAGTGGCGTTCCGGACGCTATCTCTTCTGACCTTTCCCTCGACCTTCCGAAGGTATTGCATCTCCATGGCTTGAATTCAACTTTTGTGTTTCGAGGTGAGGGTCCACAATTCAGAGGAGTACGAAAGGATAGGGAGAAATGTTGATTTGTAGACTGCTACTTTAGTTCACTTCGTTATCTCTCTTCTGCCCAGAAATCACCTCCGGAGCTGATAGAACACTTTGTCAGCTGCCCCGATTATTTTACTCACCTCTTCATCAACATAACCACTTTCCTTGAAATGAGCACCCAGATACTGGAAATTATCTACCTGCTCCAATCTCTCACCACTTGCTCTCACCACCATCAGTTTTCCCCAGGTTAATATTCATGTTTATTGTGGCTATTTCTTCCTGGAGGATGTTGACGTTGTATTGGAGGTCTCGATCATTGGCAGCTAGCAAGACCAGGTCGTCAGCAAATGCCAGCACAGAGAATCTTGTCGGTTGCAGTTTTCAGTGTCCTAACTGGAACTGCCTCGTCCTTAGTTTAGCCTTTTTAAGTGCCATGTCTAAAACTATTGCAAACAGTTGTGGTCTTAAGCTACAAACTTGGCGAATACCTAATGTCATCTCAAATTCTTCTGAAATGTGGTTCATGGTCCTAACCACATTTCTGGTCTTGTTATAGAGACTTATCACAGCCAAAATTGTTCCATGATCAGTCCCTCTTTCAGACAATGCCCGCTCTATATCTTCCTTCCTCACTCTATCCAAACCTTTTGGAGGTCCACGAAACAGACAGAAAACTCCTTACTCTTCTCGACAGTCTTTTCTGTAATTTGGCGCATGGTGAACATAAGATCCTGCGTACTTCGCTGCCCTCTGAAGCAGTATTGTTCTTCCCTGAGCTGACTATCGCCCAACCTTCTTACTCTTGTCTCCAGTAATCTGGAATAAACTTTACTGGGTAGACTGAGATTTGATATTCCTCGATTATTCCCACACTCTCTATTATCTCCTTTCTTGTAAATGAGCACGATCACTGCCACTTCCCAGTCTTTCGGAATTTTCTTTTCCTTCCAAATCAGGTTCAGAAGATGGAGGAATATCTCTTGGCCTTTGCTACCCATGAACTTAATCATTTCTGAACTAATTTCCGATCAAGTCCTGCTGCCTTGCCTAGCTTGATCTTGTTGGTGGCTTCTTGCAGTTCCTCCTCACTGATGTAGTCGTCTTCAACCCAAACATTCTCTATTTCGCTCTGAGTCTCACACATCTCTACATTTCTACCCTCAAGCAATTCCTTAAAATAGTCCCTCCATCTTTCCATAATCAGTTCCGTAAAGGCAATCCAGCTCTTTTCACTCTGTTATTTGTGATAATATAAATTCAAAAGAATTGGTTATCAGCCAACTAACCCAAGCCAGATGGAGGGGCTGCTTCCTCTGAGCGTCCTGACATGCTCCCCCATCCGGAATGGCTACTTAGGGAAGCTGGCCCTAAGGTGTGTACTGTTGTTGACCTTGATCTGTAGTGTGGGGGTGAATGTAGTATGCTCTAATCTGTGTTTATGAATGTGTGTCAGTGTACTGTTCCCCCAACCTGGAGGACCAGTGGCTGTTTGCCGTACTATGACCGGGCGATGGGGCCGCCACCTCCCTACACCAGACAAATCTTATTACCTTTGTATTGAAATTCTATTTCTCTCTTACTCCAATCCCTTCCCATCTCTCTAAAAATCATGAGCTAAATTTTGAAAAATTCTTTTTTTTTTATTTTCCAGTTTTTTTCATGTTTTTTTTATTTTCCACTGTTCTGTATAATTGTTTATTGTAAAATATCTGTTCTATAGATATAATAGTCTCAATGTAAAATATTATAAATTTTACTTCAATTTAGATAGTAGAAGAGAACTTCAAATGAGTAGAGAAGGGAGTAGTAACACATCCGAAGGTGGATCACGTGAGAGACCTGATGCACAAAGAGAATCATCATTAGAAGACTCAGGTGTAGTAGATGACCATGAAGAAGGAGACATTGTTTCAGTAGATGTTGTACAAGCAAGTTCATCAGTTCAAGTAAGCATTTGAATATTATATTTTATTACATTTTTATTTTGAATGAACTTTCTAGGAAATACATATCCTTTTCATCTTGTTATCGCACACTTTAAAGAATGATTGGATATACATTACTAACAAATAAATTTAAATTGGAATATTTTGGGAAAATCATCAACTTGGAATATTGAGGATGTTATGGAATATGGACAATTTTATTTATATCTCTTAGTAAATACATAATTATATTTTATATGATATATCTAATGATGCATTATATTTAAACTTTTTAACAACCTATAAAACTCAAATTATAAAATCCTACCAATTTTACTGGGTCCATTGAACCCTTAGACCATGGTGCCATGG